ATGCAAAACTCCCCCACACTTAAATTGAACAATGTCCCCATTGTCGATCATCAGTTCAAGGAAAGTTATCCATATAATCAACCAACAAAAAGAAAAAAAAAACAAAGACACTAAACCAAATACGGAAATAAAGAGGAAAAAAAAGATACAAACATACCGGGCACAGTGACTAGACGAGTCTCTGTGAATCCGGTGGTGCAGGTGTAGGGTGGAGGTAATCAGGCCCCGAACAACGGTGGGCCTTCATCACATCAAATCTCTCGCCCCATTCAGATCGAGGCTGCTCCTTCAAGTTCGGCTGGGGTGGGGTAGTGTTGCTGTCGGTACGGCACTTCTTCTGGACATGGACATGGTCTTGTAGTGATCTCTTCGCGTGTTCTCGCATACACGCGTCCTCCGTGAGCTGCTCAATCGCCCATATGTAACCACACTTTTCCACCAGCTTCACTTGTGGCTCATGCTGAGACTCTCGGGTGGAAATGAGGGTGGACTCCCCCAGCACAATCATACTCGCAGTCCCTTTCTTCACATCAATGACTGTGCTGGTGGTAGCCATAAAAGGTCGCCCGAGAAGGATGGTGTTCTGCCTTCCACTTTCTTGCACGTTTCCAACATCGAGCACACCAAAGTCCACGGGGTATCAGCTTCCCCACTTGGACAAGAACATCCTCAACAACCCTTTCTGGTTGACGGAACGAGCGATCAGCCAGCTGTAGACGCATCCTGGTGGGCTTCAAGTCTCCAAGCCCGAGCCGGCGATAAACTGAAAGTGCATGAGGTTAATGCCCGCTCCTAGATCAAGCATGCCCGAGGTCTCCTCTCCATTCCCGAAGGCCATAGTGATCACGAAGCCTCCGGGGTCCTTTTCTTTCGCTGGCAAGTAATGTTGGAGAACACTTAACACTTCCGACAAGAGCATCTCTTCACTGCTCTCAAGTCTCTGCTTATTGGAGAATAGGAGCATGCCTGATATTCATGTTTGGTGCTAATTTAAGAATAGAGACTTTTGGAGAAGTTCATTTTGAATAAGTCAGTTTTTTAAATGGAAGTGCTCCCAAACAAGGCCTTAATCTAGAGAAGTAAAACTAATTAATAGTACTCGTTAGTAGTTACTAGTGCGTATCTCGTGCGATGCACGGGTAAACAATATGACTTTCATAGCATGTAAAATTGTATTATCACATGTGCATGATAAATCACATCTTAAGATCATAATTTGTATTTTCTAATGGTATAACATCCTTCATTTTAGGGATCATATGTATTTAATATGTCCATATCTACATATCGGCAAATTTAAATTTTGAGTTTGAAGATACCCGAATCTATGATTGCAAAATATCGTTTAAAAATTAAATCAACCGCAACTTTAGGATTTGGTATTTTGAAATTTAGAAAAAAATAAAATCATTAATTTATGGGAGGTATGTGATAAATCTATCTAAATCTTGTATACATCACGTCTTACAATTAAAGCAATGCAAACATAGAGATTAAGATATTTTGAATCTCTAATTTAAACAAAGACCGCAAAAATTGATTTGGTATTTTGATATATAAAAAAAATCATTAATGTAGGGGATGATATGTGATAAATCTATCTAAATATTGGATACATCACGTTTTACAATTAAAGCAATTTAAATATGTAGATTATTCTTATTTCTAATCTCTGATTTAAACAATAACCATAAAATTTTAGATTGTTTCAAAATAGAGATGTGTATTATTTTTCATTATAAATAATTGTCAAACAAAACAATTGAATCAGCCGCAACTTTATTTCTTTAATTGAAACTGCTCAATTTGATTGTTAGAAAAAATGTTTTCAAAAGAAATAAACAAATGATTTTTTTTTTTAAATATTTTTACCCTTAAATCAGACGTAATTTGTTTTGTTAAATAAAACCTGCTAATCAAAATATATGTATTAGGCTATTAGCCGATTATATAGAAAATAAATCCGATATTTTTAAAATACAAAAATATATTTTTATGGTTAGAAAAAATAGCACGTACCTTTTTTTATTATTAAATCAGTTGTAACTTTTTTATTATAAAAAAGATGTCAAACAAAACATTGTATTAGACGAATATCTGGTTTTAAATTTGGAGAATATGATTGTCCGATGTTTAATTGAATTAGCAGTCGTGACGTACATTTATATTCAAATTTAAAAATAGCTTTTTGTAACCAATAACCAAATTTAATTGATGCAATCCGTGCAATATCAGCTTTTGATATGCACATCGTGTCAAATCATCACAAATATTCAATAGACTAAATTTAAATAACAGCCCAACTTTTTTGAAAATAAAAACTAACAAACTCCTCATTTTAAGGACAACATTAAAAAAATATTATAAAGATACTATAAATGCCATATAATTAATGCTGACCAGTTTTGACTAAGGATTGACGTACTATTCTTGATAAATGGTAATTCTTTATATATATATATAGATAGATAGATAGATTCGGTAAAAAAATGATCATATTTATTTTAATTGATATTTTGTTTTCAATACTCCAACATACAAATTATAAATTTTTTATGATGACATTGTATTTCTAGATTAAATTTATAATCCCCTCTATTAATCTCTCCTATATATACTTGCAGAATGTGTTGAGCTTAAGTGGCAGGATATGGTACTTTGTAATTCTATGTGGCAATTGTTCGTGCTTTGTCATTTGACTTTGATGAATTTTAATTTACTCTCAATTAAAAAATAATTAGGTTTATATAGCCATAAATATACTAGATATTTGTGGACATTTTTAATAGCATTAATTTACATTTTATATTCTAGACGTGAATTATGAGGCATAATTTTTTTTACTCAATCATTCTTTTTTTTCCTCGTCTTTCTTCTAATGTTATGAAAATATTACTGACTTAAATCATAAGTAGATTTTAAAGTCAATATATTTTATTCATTTTTAAGTTTTCATATATAATATATCAAATTGATTATGTGATGAACTTTGATTTGACATCTCTATTGTACATACAAAATAAATAAATAATTATCATTATCTTTATAATAAATAGTAAAATACCTATTTATTAATAAAAATAAATAAAATTATTTAAACTAATTTAACTACAAAGTTGTTAATTGATATAATTTGAAAAAAAAAATATTATAGTACAAAATTGTAAGCCATATAAGTGATGTCTATTATTTAATATATAAATAGTAATATAATTATACAGAAAAGTATTTTAAAATTAAAACAATTTTCTTATTATTATTTTTAATTTTATATATATTGTGTAATGTACTAGTGGTACAATAATACATAAAATTATATATATTGTTTTTACAATGTTGTCATAGAAGGAAAAGGCCCTAAAAGTAAAAGCATCTAAAAATCTTATGAAATAATATATAACTAGTACAACGTCCGTGTATTACACGGTGGTAACACAAAACTCCTCGACCGGCTGGAACTTGAGTAATCGCCTTCCTTCTCGCCGGTTGAACGTCGTGTACCTACAAAGAACTCTCACACCGGAGGGGTTTTCCGG